AGCCGTACGGAAAGGCAGGTGCCAAGGACCTCTACTTCCGCCCCGATCAGTTCACCGTCATCGAGCACAGCCCTCGACACCTAGTAGTAAGGATCGAAGCCCCAGGCTTTCGACATACAGTCTGCGTCGCTCATGCACCACACTCACGAGCCAAGCCACACGAGAAGGATATCTTCTGGGAGATGATCGAGTGCGCAACTTCTAACCACAACATCGACATCTTCTTCATCGACGCCAACGCTCGAACGGGCAGTTTATGCAGTCAGGCAATCGGCGATCAAGGCTTCAAGCAAAAGGAGGACGACAACGGCGAACGATTCCACAAGGTCCTGCAAGGTAACTCTCTCATAGCCGCGAATACCTTCAAAAGCGGAGGCCAGGACCACTACACATGGGACTCAGGCAAGGACGTGCACAGACTGGACTACATAGTGGTTGGCCACGAGCTCTTCGACTCTATCTCCTACACGTCCGTAATGTATGGTATCGACACAGAACACGACCACTCACACAAGAACGACCACTTCCCTGTCAAGGCTAACCTCGCCTATATCGTCGAGACCACATACCAGCACGGCACGCCCAAGCTCGACATCGCTAAGCTCGACTCCGAGACAGCCAAGAACGACTTTCAACGACGCCTGCAGCAGATCCAACACCCCCCCTGGGAGACCAACCTCAACGACCATACTAAGAGCATCGTCGATCAGATAAAGGACGCAGCCTACGCCAGCTTCAAGAAGCAGCATCATGCCCCACGCAAGCCCTACATTACCGAGGCCTCATACGCGCTTCTTCGCTTTCGACGCACCCTCCTCAAGACGATCCGCATCGTGAAAAGGAATGGCATGGGCTCCAAGATATCACGCAGACGGATCCGATACACCGCGCACCTCATCGCAAACCAGACGGCTTCAGCGTCCCCTGACGACGTCATCCACCTCATGGACATCCCTGGATATACTCAGCTGATGATCAAGACCATCCTCTTTATCAACCACGCGGACCCCGACCAGACTACGGCTCCATACCACGACAGCACCCACTGCACAACCACCTTCACTACAAACCTTTTCGACTCATACATGAGCTTCATCAAAGATACCGACAGAGTTCTTAGGAACCGCCTCGATCACGACCGCGACGCCCACCTCGAGCGCCTCTCCGACAACATGATACTATCAGCTGCAGGGAACGCCCCGCGGCAGGAATGGGCAAACGTGAGGGCATTACTAACATACGGCGGCCGCACACCTAAGAGAACTCCAACTCCCAAAATACGACAAGACGATGACGGCGCTCCACTTACAACGCCACAAGCCATTGCGGAGCACGCCCTTCGATACTACGGCAACATAGAGAACGGCATCAACACCGACATCGAAGGCGTCGTCAAGTACTACAACAACAAGACTGCCCACACCAAGCCGATACCCCACATCGACAACGTCCAGACCATCCACAATCTGACATCCGCCCTGGCAGCCGCCAAGAAAGGCAAACGCGGCGGGCCCGACGGGAACACCGACGACATGGCACGAGCAGCGCCGCGCCAGATTGCCCGACTTCTGCACCCTATCATGATGAAGATGCAAATGATGACGACGGAGCCTATTTCGGCGAAGGGCGGTTTCTCCACCCATTTCTCCAAAGGACAAGGACAGCTTCATCTGCAGAAAGCATACAGGGGCATCCTCCTGAACAACACTATAGGAAAGATCAACAGCAAGTTCCTGAGAGGCCTCTTCCGCGACATCCTACCCGACCTGCTCATGGACACACAATGCGGCGCCGTCCCTCACAAGGCGACCGACTTCATCACTCACACCGCCTACACTTTCTTGGACGACTGCCGTACACAGGCTCGCACGGGCAGCATCCTCTTCCTGGACTTGAAAGAAGCCTTCCATTCGGTAATAAAGGAGTTCATTTTTCAGCTGCCGACTCAGGAGGACGAGCTCGAAGACGTCATCGACAACATCGAGATTCCCATATGCCTACTCCCATCCCTACGACAACGTCTTCGCTGCCCAGCACATCTCAACGCCCACGTCGACGACTCTCACCTCTGCGCCCTAGTTGCCGACCACCACACGGCCAACTGGATGACCGCCAAGGGCACCGACGCATACGTGATCCCTCGCACCAGTACCAGGCCAGGGGTGCCATACTCCGACGCAGCTTTCAACATGCATTTCTCCCTGGTGCTTCAGGCCATCGCCGACGACGCTGAAGGGGCAGAAGACGGCGAAAGCGGCCACCACATCAGCCCCTGCGACAACCCGCTCTTCTCTACGGCCCCTCACCAAGGCGGCAAGCTGACCAACATGTCCTTCGTCGACGACCTCACCGACTTCAACTCGACCACACACCACTCCGACATCATTGACATTACGAGAACTTCAGCTGAACGTCTATGCCGTACAGCCTTTACATACGGGCTCAAGCCACACCCAGACAAGACCAAGGTCATCATCTCCTTTAACGGGACGGGCTCCAACGTCGTGCGCAGCAGGCTTGCACAGCAAAACATTACATCAATCAAGTTGAGCATCATGTCGATCTCGGTCCAAATCACAGACCAGCACCGACTATTAGGCACCATCATAACCAACGGCAGCATGGGCCCCGAGGTGCAGAATCGCATGCAACGAACCGACGCTTCGGCACGAGCTCTGGAGAGGCAAATCCTAAGACGTCGACGCCTACCCCGCAAAACGAAGATCAAGTACGTGCACGCCCTCTCGACTGCCTCATTGACCTTCAACCATCACGTCTGGCCAGCACTGACTCAGACTGACCACCAGCGCATATCCAACGCCTACTCGAAGCCCTATCGCACGGCAGCTGGATTACCCAAAGTTAACTCGCAGCTTCATCATTTCACGGCCACCGAAGTAGTAGCCTACACCGGCATCCCCGACTTCGACCACCACCAGTCTGCTGGACGGCTGCGATACTTACCACGGCTTCTACGACACGCTCCTCAGCAGCTCCTACAACTGCTTGACAACCAGCGACGGAGAAAGGGCTCATGGACATACATGCTTTTCCAGGACTTCGACTTCCTGCGCACATACCTGGACGACCAGCGCTGGCCCACGACCAGCAAGCTCGACCCCGACATCATCGCATGGGCTCGCACCACGCCGAGGCACTTCACCAACTCCGTCAACCTGGCTGTCACAAACTACATCCGCGCCTCTAAAGACAGTGCCCACGCCGACAAGCTGACCAAGGTGCTCAGACCAGACGGCCCCATCGGGGCGGGCACCACGCCATCACGTGACAACGGCGACAGCAACTTCATTTGCTACGAGTGCGGAATAGTAACCAAGACAAAGCAGGGCATGGCAATACATATCGGACGGGAACACCGACGACCTGATCATCCGCGAAACTGGGCATCGGGTACATCGTGCAGAATATGCCGCCAGAACTTCCACTCCTTCGCCAAGCTAGTGAAGCATCTAACCACGGTAGCCCGATGCCGACGGTCATGGTATATGTGGTATTTACAAGGACCTGCCCTCACTGAGGAGGACGTGGCCACCAATCAGGCGATCTACGCGGCCAGCATAGCCGACAACAAACGCAGAGGCCGCCCCGAACTATACCATCCCATCCCTGCCCACGCATCCGACGTCACCCCATTACCCTCCCTTGACCTATCACCTTCACCACCGCCCTTTTTCCCGACTGTAGCAGAACTTACACCACCACCACCAGCCCACTACCCTCGGACACCGACCAGAAACAGATCCCTGCTTTACCTCACCAACACCGATAGACACCCGAATGATCTGCTCGACATCACGGACCAACGACTATGCTACAATGGAATGGTTATGGAACTGGCTACTATGACCTTCGACGATCTCTACTCCGCCGAACACCCATCCCAGTACGACGCCCTTGACTTGATCCACCAGCACATTCGACAGGGTGACTTCGCAGGAGTTACGATCAACCTCTCACCCAGCACTTGGATCGACCAAGGTGATGGCGACATCCACGACAGAACGGCAGCATCCTCCAGAACAACCTCGGACCCATGGGGAAGAGTAAACCTTGGAGGCAAGGCAGCGGAACGTCGACTGATCGCGAACCACCATGCCCGCCTAGCCATCCACATCTTCCATGCCGCCCACATTGCAGAAGTACCTGTACTACTAGCGCAATCCGCAGCCCCAGCGGGTCCGTCGCTGATGTGGACGACCGAGCAGATGCACTACGCTACGGAGAGAACTGCCACGAGAAGACCGACCAGGATTGACTCCACCAGCAACCTCTACGCCATTTACGACGGCACCTCCCACGAGCACAGCAGCCCACTCGACGATTTCGTCGACTCCGTCTTGAGCAGCCTGCTCCCTGGAGGTCGGACTGCAGCCTGCAGATCCGACGACCCGAGCTGGCCGTAACAGGGCCCAAGAGCTTCGAGGCGGACGCCTACCGCGGCAAGATGACCGTAGGGATCAAGGCGGCCGCCGACACCATCACGAACGCCCCCTCAATGGAGAGGGGGGGGAGGACACGGTCCAAGCGTGACCTGGGCCGCCGCCCGCGTGAAGGCCTCATGGGGGTGGACTCCCTTCCTCCCCAGGCCTTTAATGAGCCCCCTCCCCCCGCCCCGCTTTGCCACCCCCATGTGGCCTCTCCCTCTTCCTTCCCTCTGCCCCGAAACTCCTGGGCACCCTTTTTTTTCTCGGCCCCTTTCGGCCCCCGCCCCTCCCCCTGCGAGGCCTAGGCGGCTTCTCACCCTTGCCCTCCTGGCGGGGGCCCGTGTCGGGGGGGTGGCCCCCACTGCGTGCCTCGGGCGCGCGCGCGCGGCCGCGGCCGCGCGAACGGCTTCGTCTATTAGACATCGAGCCGCGAGCGAAGCGAAGCGAAGGAGGAGGAGGAGGAGGAGGAGGAGGAGGAGGTGATTATCACTGTCACGCAATCAGATCATTGGGCAGCCGCGAAGCGCCGGCACCTCTGCGGCCGCGCAGTCTGGCTCAGAACTCGTCGCCGTAGCCCTCCTCCTCGCCCTCCCCCTCGGCGGTCTCGATGCCGACCTCCTCGTAGTCCTTCTCCAGCGCAGCCAGATCCTCGCGGGCCTCTGAGAACTCGCCCTCCTCCATGCCCTCGCCGACGTACCAGTGGACGAACGCGCGCTTGGAGTACATGAGGTCGAACTTGTGGTCGATGCGTGAGAACACCTCCGCAATGGCCGTGGAATTGCTGATCATACAGCACGCGCGCATCACCTTAGCCAAATCACCACCAGGTACCACGGTGGGCGGCTGGTAGTTGATGCCGACCTTGAACCCAGTAGGGCACCAATCCACAAACTGAATAGTACGCTTCGTTTTGATTGTTGCCACTGATGCGTTCACGTCCTTGGGCACCACGTCGCCTCTGTACATCATGCAGCAAGCCATGTATTTGCCGTGGCGGGGGTCGCACTTGACAAACATGGCCGAAGGCTCAAACACGGACATGGTGATTTCGGCCACAGAGAGCTGCTCGTGGTAGGCTTTTTCTGCAGAGATCACCGGCGCGTAGCTCGACAGCATGAAATGAATGCGCGGGTATGGCACGAGGTTCGTCTGGAATTCCGTGATGTCCACGTTGAGCGCGCCGTCAAAGCGCAGCGATGCGGTCAACGAGGATATGATTTGGGCCAGAAGTCTGTTCAAGTTTGTGTACGTGGGGCGTTCGATGTCGAGGTTCCGCCTGCAAATGTCGTACAACGCCTCGTTGTCGTACATGATCCGCCACCATGACTTTGCCACGTTGAGGCGTGGTAGACTGCCCACCGCTGTCTGGTAGGAGTTCTGTAATCTTCTTAGGAGGCCCCCATTCCTCGTCGCATCCAGTTACGTGCATCGCCCGTCCAACCCAAGGCACCCTGGGGGGTCCGACACCTCCCCAGCGCCCTCCAAGGCACCCAAACCGTCCAAGATGGCTTCTATGACGGCCCAGGGAGGCCACCATGGCCACCAAGACAGCCCGACGCGTCTCCAAGACGGCCCCTAACAGCTTCAAAACAGCCCACGATGGCATCAACACTCCCAAGAGGGCTCCAAGATAACCTCCAGCAGAGCCCGAAGAGCCCGAAATCACTTATTGTTTCTAAGTTATTGATGGATTTTGAAATTCTCTCATTTTCGGATTTCCGTCAGCTCAAGACGGTCAGAGAAGCCTCCAAGATGGGGCACACGAGGGCTTCAACAAGGCCCCAAGACGGCCCAGGAAGGTTCTAATGCGACCCAAACGGACCCGAACCCGGCCCTCAGACGACCCTCGAGAAACCCAGGAGGACCCCTGGAGGTGGATATGGGGATTGAGTGGCCGCAGAACCAAATAACCTCTCATGTTAAATTGGGCCTCGGCTCGCCTGTGAAAGCGGCCGAGTTCCTTTAGGTAGTTATGCAAGTACCTATATCCGTAGGCCATGCGATTCGGAGGAGACGAGGAAGCAAGCGGGCGCGCGGACGCGCGCGCCTTTATCCCCATCCGCCTCTCGAGCGAAGAAACTCGCCGGGCGGTGATCGAACGACGACCGAAACGATTCTCTCCTCGATCCTCGACCCTCGGGGGGAAGGAGGGATGGCAAGAGAGGAGCGGGAGGTGGCCCAGGAGGGAACCGAGAACCCGCCCAACCCAGCGGGGTTTCCGCTCGAGCGCACACGCGCGCCAATGCCGAGGGGCCCAACCCCCCGGCCTCGGAACTCGAACGGGGGGCTCTCAGGGACGAGCTCACCCTGGGACCCCACCGGGGAGGAAAGCCGGGAGCCCTGAAACAAACGATGCCGCACAGTTCTCGGGAGCAGGGGAGGCACGAGAAGGCGCCCCGCTTCCACGGGCAGCGGGGCGGCCGCGCTCGACGCCAGAGTCCGTTGGTGCAAAGGAACTTCATGGCGCAGTGGGCGGAGGAGTTCGCGACGTCGCGGAGCGCCCAGACCCAGAAGAAGGGGGAATCTACGGCCTCGACGCCATCGCCCCGCGGCCGCGCGAAGGGAGTGAAAGAGAAGTGAGAGCGACAAAGATAAGAGGACGCCTGCGTGGTCGCAGCTGCCACGCTGCCAAAAATGCCCCGAGCTCGAGGGCCCTCTGGGCAATTTGCGCATGGGAGGCGCTGGTGAACTCAGCCAAGGCAGCTCGCCATGCATTGCGGCTATCCTCACATGTTTTGAACATTCTGCTTTGCTCTGACAAGGCCTGCTGCTGCATCTCAGCCATCTGCTGGCTCAGGGCCTGCAGCAGGTCGATTGTCGACACCGATAACGAGTTGTTCTACGGCGGCTGCTTTGGACCAGCCTCGCAGTCCCGCCTGCGATTAGGACAGTTGTTGTTCGACCATTCGGGGCGGTACTGGTTGCACCTGGTCGAAGGGGAAAGGCGCCCTAGTGCTCTGGAGTGCTTGTGCGATCGAGGCACCGCATCTTTGCTTAGGGACAGCAAGATACGAAGCAAAACGTCTTTCGTCGGATTCCATGTGGGATCTCGCCGCGCCCGCGCCAGGTCTCCCCCACGCAACAGCGCCAGGTTACCCCGCCGCAACCGCTCTCTCGCGGGGACGCCGCGGGTTATCTTGACCGTCGCCCGAGGCACGGTCGACAGGCACAACTTGCCCGCACGTCGGAGATGACGGCCTCTGGCGAAGCTTGCTTGCAGCTCGCCTGAGTTGGCCATCTTAAGTACAGCGTTTTGCGCTGCTTCGACTGGTAACCTGGCTTCGGGGTAGGATGGCGCCGCAGAGCTACCCAACCCCATGTTGAATTGGGCCTCGGTTCGCCAGTGAAGGCGGCCGATTTCCCTTTGGTAGTCATGTAAATAAGTATATCCGAATGCTGCACGACCCGGAGGAGACGAGGAAGCAAGCGGGCGCGCGGACGCGCGCGCCTTTATCCCCATCCGCATCGCGAGCCAAGAAGCTCGTCGGGCGGCGATCGAACGACGATCGAAACGATCCTCTCCTCGACTGGGAAGGAATGCGGAGGGAAGGCAAGAGAGGAGCGCGGAAGCCCAGGGGAGGCCGGGGGCCCCCGAAACCCAGCAGGGTTTCCGCCCAAACTTACACGCGCGCCAACACCGAGGGGTAGAACCCACAAGGACCCCGAGAGGGCCCAGAGTCCCACAAGACGGACTCCGAAACCGCCAGACGGCCCAAGAGCGCCCTCTGCCGGCGTCTGGAGCCCCTGAGGGCCTCCGAGGCGCCCGGGAGATGCTGCCGAGCCGACCCAAGAGGCCCCCAAGGGACACCCAGCAGGCACCCAAGGCCTGCTCGGGGCTCGAGGTGCCACGCATGACGGCCTCCCGGGCCCCTTCGAACTGTCGCCACCCAGAGTGCTGCGCCAGCACGGCGGTGGGCCTGGCCGCAGGCAACCGGATGGTGACGTCCGTGTGCTCCAGCAAAGAGTGCACGCACAGCACGGTGTTGTACGGCTCCACCACCGCCGTGGCGACCTGCGGGCACGCCCACACCGTGTACGAGACCTTCGTCTTCTTGCCATAGTCCACCGACAAGCGCTCCAGCATCAGGCAGCCCAGCCCAGACCCGGTGCCTCCGCCGACGGCGTTGTAGATCATGAACCCCTGGAGCCCCGTGCAGTTATCGGCGAGCTTCCGAATGCGGTCCAAGACCAGGTCGACGATCTCCTTGCCGATCGTGTAGTGCCCGCGCGCAAAGTTATTGGCCGCGTCCTCCTTGCCGGAGATGAGCTGCTCGGGGTGGAAGAGCTGGCGGTATGTACCGGTGCGGACCTCGTCCACCACGGTGGGCTCAAGATCCACCATCACACAACGCGGAACGTGCTTGCCAGCACCTGTTTCCGAGAAAAATGTGTTAAAAGCGTCGTCACCACCCCCAATTGTCTTATCGGAGGGCATCTGTCCGTCAGGCTGGATGCCATGCTCGAGGCAGAAAAGTTCCCAGCAGGCGTTCCCGATCTGAACACCTGCCTGACCGATATGGATGCAGATCGCCTCACGCATAGTGTTGAGGAAGCTGCCCGGGCTCTCGGATGGCTTACAGCACAGGCTGCAGAATGAGACTGCCGCGGAATGTAGCGATCTCTCGTGCAGCTGCTTGAGCCCGAATGGCCGGATTTGACTCGGTCTATCTGAACTTGCATCGATGTATAGAGGCCTCCCAACGGGGTCCGACTAGATGCATCCGTAGTGCATCGGCAAGGTCGGCGATGCATCGGCGACGACGGCGAGCAGAAAATCGGGCTCAAAATCGGGCCGTATCGGCGATGCATCGGCGATGCGGCGAGATCCTCAGACCCAATCTGCTCGGAGCCGATCGGGAAGGCCTGGACCTTCTGAACTTACACGTGGGCGACGGAAAAAAAAGGGTTTCACACAAGATGGCATAGCGACCTTCCGTGCGCGGTGGCTCACGCGGGCCGCCAGCGCGGCACGCTACATCGGAAAGGAGGGCGCGCACGCTCGACCTCACGCGGGAAGCCTCCGCGCGAACGTCCGCGCAGTCGACCTCGCTTTCTTCCATAGCCCACATGGGTGTAGGTAGGCTTACCTCGACGAGGCCTTTGCGGTCTGGACTCCAGGGCTCGACACCGTGGATATGGCTATATGCGTTCCTCGCGGGGCGTCCGCGGAAAGACGCGTTGTATCCACGGCCTGGCGGGTCGGTCCCCAGTCGACCGAGACGTCCTCGGAGAGCGACCCGAGTCCCAGAACTGTGAGGGTGATCCCGGATCCCCGCGGACTCACCGCACGGTGTAGTCACCGCGACCCTTGGGGGCCCCCGACGGTTTCCCGCCCTCGGAGGGGAGCAGGAGGAGGAGGAGGAGGAGGAGGAGGAGGCGGAGGCGGAGGCGGAGGCGGAGGCGGAGGCGGAGGCGGAGGAGGCGGATGCGGAGGAGGCGGAGGCGGAGGAGGAGGAGGCGGAGGCGGAGGCGGAGGCGGAGGAGGCGGAGGCGGAGGCAGGGTCGAAAGAGAGCGAGGGATCTCGGCAGCGCCATCTGCTCCTCCTCCTCCTTCCGGCGTCTGCCGCGGGCGCGCCTAGGCCGAAGGGAGGCCTGTTCGCCCCCCGCGCGCGGAGACGAGCGCGCGCATCACTCGGAGGCGGCGGCTGGGTGGGCGGCTCCCTGAGCCGGGGCTGGCGCGAACGGCGGCCACTCCTTCTCACCCACAACCTCCTCCTCCTTTTCCTCCTCCTCCTTCTCCTCCTCCTCCTCCTCCTCTTCCTCTTTCACCTCTTCCTCCTCCGCTTCCTCCTCAAAGTCCAGAAAATAACATAATAATATCAACAATAAGGATAAAGCAGGACAACAATGATAATAACAAGAATGATAGTACTAATAATAGTTCATACTACAAACACAACATGCATCACAATACTAAGAATAATGACAAAATAACGAAAACATTGACACTAACAATAATAATAAAAAACAATAATCACCACCACCATCATCATCACCATCATCATCAGCAGCAGCATAACCATCATCATAAGAAGCATTAGCGAATGCACTCTCACCATCCTAAACAGCATCGTCGTCATCCTGAATACTATCAGAATCATAAACACGAGCACATGCAGAACCATCATCATCATCAGCAGCATCATCTGCAGCAGCACAGCAGCAGTAGCATCATCACCACCACCACCATCATCATCATCATCATCATCATCATCATCATCATCATCATCGTCTTCGTCGTCATCATCAAAATCAGCAACATCATCATCGTCACGAGAATCATCACCAGTATCATCATCATCGTCGTCATCGTCATCGGCATCGTCATCGTCACCGTCATCATAAGCATCAATAGGATCATCGACATTCACGTCCACAGTCACATAAACATCAACGTCAGCATCATCGTCACAATCAGCAGCAGCATCCTCAATAACGCCACGATCATCATCAACCATCAACATCGACATCATCAGCAGCAGCACCACCATCAGCATCATCATCGTCAGTATGAACATCTTGATTAGCAGCAGCAGCAGCATCATCATCATCAGCATCGTCATCATTACCATCACCACCATCATCACCATCATCATCATCATCATCATCATCATCATCATCATCATCATCATCATCATCATCATCGTGATCAGCATCGCGAACGGCATCATCATCGTCAACGGCATCATCATCGTCATCGTCATCATCGTCGCCATCAGCATAATCATCGTGATCGTCATCGTGAATCATCACCATCATCATCAGCATTGTCATCAGTAGCATCAGCATCATCGTCGTGATCGTCATTGAAATCGGCATCGTCATCGCCCTCGTCATCGTTATCATCATCGCCACCACCACCCTAACCACCATCATCATCTATCATAACCATCATCATCGTCATCGTGATCCGCATCGTCAACGTCATCGTCGCCATCATCATCGTGCTCATCATCATCGTCATCCCTATCTTCGTCATCATCATCGCGATCGTCACTGTGAATCATCTTAACCATGGCCTTCGTCATCACCATCATCATCATCGACATTTTCGTCGTCGTAATCGCCATCGTGATCGGCATCTTCATCGTCATCCTCGTCGTCATCATCCTCACCACCAGCACCATGACCGTCATCATCATCGCCATCATCGGCAGCATCGCCGTCGACGTCATCGGCAACGGTATGTTTGTCGTCATCGTCATCGTTGGCATCGGCAGCATCATGAGCACCCAAATCGTCATCACCATCCGCATCACATCCCCATCAAAATCAGCCTCCTCGTCATCATCGTCAGCGGCACCATCAACAACCTCATCAGCATCAATCGCCAGCACCATCACCATCATCAGCATCACCATTGTCGAGCTCGTCATCGCGATCGGCATCGCCATCGTCATCGGCAACGTCATCATCATCGCCACCAACATCATCATCGTCGTCATCCCCATCATAACCATCGAGATCGTCATCATGAATCATCATCACCATGGCAAGCGTCATCACAATCAAAGCCGTCATCATCAGCACCATCAGCATTATCAGCGTGATCGGCATCGGCATCGCCAGTGTCATCGTCATCACCGGCAGCATCGCCATTACCATCACAATGACCACCATCACCATCGCAAACACGTCCATGGCCATCATCATCATCATCATCATCATCATCAGCAACGTCAGCATCATCATCGTCAGTATAATCATGGTCATCGGAATCATCACCATCATCGTCATCAGCGTCATCACCATCATCCCCGAAATCGCCATCGTGGTCAGCGTCGTGATCGACATCGCCACCTCCATCATCACCACCACCATGGCCAGCATCACCATCATCATCATCATCATCATCATCATCATCATCATCATCACCATGACCATGATCATCATCATCGTCATCATCATCATCATCATCATCATCACATTGATCACCATCATCAGCATCATCACCGTCGCCATCATCATCAGCACCTCCATCATCATCACCGTGCATCAGCAACATCAGCAGCATCACCAAAACCACGATCGTGACTCGTCATCATCATCCCCATCATCACCACCACCAAGACCATCATCATCATCACCTGCATCACCACCACCCCTATGACCATCATCATCGGCACCATCATCTTCACAATCATCAGCAGCATCATCAACATCGTGATCGCTATCGTGATGAGCATCGCTATCGTCATCCATCATCATCATCATCATCCCCATCCTCATCATTATAAACACAATCATCCTCATCACCATGATCATCACCAACGCCACCATGACCATGATCACCAACATCACCACCACAATGATCATCAGCATCACCGTAACAATCATCACTACCACAAACACCACCATTCCCAATATGATCAGCATCACCGTCATCACCAACACCACCTTGACCAACATCAGCATGACCACTCCATGACAATAATCACCGTCATCACAACCACCGTGCCATCACCATCAGCATCAGCATCACCACCACCATCACCATCATCATCCCCATCGTCAGCAACATCATCGTGATCGCCATCGTAATCAACGTCGACATCGACATCGCCATCGCCATCGTCATCCTCATCGCCGCCGCCGTCAGCATCAGCATCGCCACCACCAGCATGACAACCACCATACGCATCACCATCATGACCACAACAATGCCCAGCATCGCCATCATCATCATCATCATCATCGTCATCATCATCGATACCATGGCCATCATCAGCACCAGCATCCTCATCACCACCAACAAAATTGCGTGCATCACCAAAACCACAATCATGACCATCCTCATCAGCATCATGCGCGACATCGCCAGCATCACCACCACCATGACCATCATCATCGCCATCACCAATGCTATGCCAGTCGCCACCAGTTTCGTCATCATCATCATCAACTCAGAAGTGACAGCACCACCACGACCATGACCATGAACACCATCACCGTCACCAGCATCATCGCCACCATGAAGACCATCATCGGCAACCACCACCACCATGACCACCATCATCATGACCACCCCCTCACCACCATCATCATCGCCATCATCACACCCATCACCGTGATCATGACCATCATCATCAGCAGCACCGCCACGACCATCAGCCTCACAACCACCATGACCATCAGCATCATCATCATCATCATCATCGCCACTACTATGGCCATCATCATCCGAAGGGGGACTAAATGGCATTACTCCTCAGAAGGGCCTTCCACCCATCAAAGCCGCCGCGCGGCACGGGCCCTCAAGTGGGCCGAACCTACGCGGGGGGCCCCACCCGCAGTTCCGCCCGCGGAGCCCTGCGGACCGCTCACCAGGGGCCATGGGCGCCA